ACTGTGAAACGCTTCACTGTGTATAACTACAACGACTATCCGTGATCAACAAGGAATGCCAAACAGCCACTGTAAGGGGCCGTTTACATATGAAAAAAAATCGAAAAGACGGAAATGCGGCGGTGGGAAAAAGTGGAATAAAAATCTCTCATGCGTCCACATTCACTTTTGGCGCCCTGCGGTAGGAAATGAGGCTGAAATAATAACTCACGATCTGGGTGCCAGCTCAGCAAGGCCAGCGGTATTCGCCTCGACCAGACGGGCATAATCAGGGGCGACGTCCTCCTCGTCGTCATCGACATAGAACTGGAAGCCAGCCTGACCTCCTTCTTCATAGTCGGGATCAACATTCATTGTCTCAGAAGTGTGTGACCTAGCTGCCGATTATAAGTGTCATATATAGAATCTAATTTATATGTGAGGTATATGCTGTTTGCGGACTAGGATATGTCTGAAGTATACAGTGTTGTCGGCGGTCGCGACGGACGACTGATTTTTGGCTATTTACTATTTTGTATTTCAGCCTTTTTCTGTCTCGTCCCGATCTTTGGGAAGTCTGGGACGGAGGTCGCGTGACAGAAAATCAAAAGTGATTTCGTACACCAGTGTGAACACCGTGGCGAATTTTTATATCATTTTCTACCTCGCTCCATTTTGAATTTCCGCCATATGTAAACGGCCCCTAAGAAAGCACGTGTACGACAGCCCCTTTCCGAACAGCAACGTTGCACCTTAACAACAGACAACAGGAAAACACATTCGGTCGTTGTTCCGAACATTCACAGTAGCACCACATAACACCAACTTTATGTCCATGCCCCATAACAATGTTGTCTGCGCGTTCAAACAACCGTTCTTCAAGTTACCGTGGCTTACATTTAGCAATAGTCTGCAAACAGTTACAATGATATGGCTTCGTGCGCGATGTTACCTAAATAGGAAATTTCCCGTGGACCTTAAGTCCGGGTTGTTCCCTAAGGCTTTTCCCTTGCTTCCACGGCGCGGCCTATCGGAGCGCCTAGAATCAAGGGCAGGCCAAAAAGCACATAGTACGTGGCAGTCAATGATGACGATAGGAAAAGAAGGGCGCTTGCGCATGCCTTGCCAGCTATGCTAGCCCACGGCACACGGCATGGGAAGCAAGTAACGGCTAGGTGGGGGACTTGCACTTCTGGGAAGGGTACCGTTTCGGGGGCAAGGGGGGCCTCGTGGCTTGCATGGCCGCTTGAGCACAGCGCAGGTAGTGGTGATGGGGGAATAAATGAATGTATGACCGTTACAATGGTGCCCTAAAAGGGAACACGGGTGATGAACCCAACCCTACATTGCAAAAGAAACGGAACAAACCGGGTCGCTAGGGGGGGCGGAGGGGGGTGGGGGACACTGGACGGCTATGGTTATTGGTGAGCCGGAGGTGAGGCACCTGGACGGGTAACATGAACGCCAAGGAAGGGTACCGGTTTGGGGGTACAGGGGTCCTCATCATGGCTGTGGCAGGGGAAGGGGCCTCACTTTCCTTTCACCCTCCCGTGCTTCTTGTATACCCTAAAACGCGTCACGTAATCGTGCTGCCACCTACGGTTAGGGGGTGGGGGGCTGGCCTGCACGGCCTCTCACGCACAGCGCGGATTGGGCGGGGGATAGTAAAATTAAGGAAGACTGACGGATTGGGCGGGGGGGAAGGGGTATGGTGGACGTTGGATGGCTATGGTTATTGGTGAGCCGGATTATGAATTGGCGCCTCCTGGTCTGGTCACATGGACGGCACCACCGCACTTTGAGGTCAATATTCATTGGTGGGCTAGGGGGCCGGGGGAGGGGGAGGGGGGTGGGGGACACTGGATGGCTAGGGTTTTAGTTGAGCCGGAAGATGGTGAGGCACCTGGACGGGTGAGATATTTCATTTTTTTCTTGATAATTACTACTCTTGGGAGGGTTAGGGGAGTGCAGGCGGGTAGCGGGGGGGGATTTAAGGATATCCCAAATCATAGGATGTTTTAGTAAGGGCAACACAAAGGGGATATTTGGTGGCTGGGTGTAATAAAATTAGTGAGGATTAGCGTTGGGGGGAGCGAGGGGTACTGCCACCTACGGTTGGGTCGCCTTGTCAGCTATACTAGCTCACCGGCTAGCGGGGGCATTTGCACTACTAGGAAGGGTACCGGTTTGGGGGCATGGGGGTCTCCATCATGGCTGTGGTAGGGGAAGGGCCTCATTTTTCACCGTCCCCGTGCTTCTAGTACACCCGAAAACGCATCAAGTCATCGTGCTGCCACCTACGGTTAGGGGAGGGGCTGGTCTGCACGGCCTCTCACGCACAGCGCGGATTGGGCGGGGGGGAAGGGAGGTGGGGTACATTGGATGACTAAAGATGATGAGGCGCCTCCTGGTCCGGTCACATGAGCGCCATTCATCACACTTCTACCTCAATATTCGTTGGTGGGCTATTTCTTCCGTAAACATTTCTACTCTGGGAAAGGGTTTGTGAGAGGGCAGGCGGGTAGCGGATGGGGAATTAACAACACACCAACTCATAGGAAACCACAGTAAGGGCAAAGCAAAGGGGATGGGAGGCGGTAGAGTGTCACAGACACAAAAAGTAAAAAAGGACAGCCGCAGGCTACAGTTCATACATCGACCGTTACTATGTGCCGCACACCTAGCACTGCCTTCTCTTGCTTTAGCCCAGTATGGATTGCTAAGAAATGAACAGGTACCGCTTAGGAATCTGGGTAGAAGATGTTGGAAAAGAGGTCAGGGGGCTGAGGCTACAGTTGGTTGTATAGCCGCTTTGCACTTGTCGCATTGCCTCTTTTCCTAATAAGCACAATTAGATGATGTTCTTCACCGCCGTTTTCTTTATGCGTTTTTAGTCGCTGCGGCCCGTTCACAACACAGCGGCGTCTCACACAAGGTCCCTCCGTATACCTCCGTCCAATCTGCAGTTAGTACGGTCTCTCCGTCTTCCTGAATCCTTCCGCGTTGCGGTTTCGCCCTTAACATCGATGATCAGCTTCCGTTCCCAACGCATCCGCGTGTTACGTGCCAGGCGCCTTAATGTCGCCAAATGTTTATGAGCTCTGCCGTACATTGACGCTATTCCTCCTAACGGGCTCCTCCAGTGGAACTTCCGCTTCCTAATGAACATCAAAGTACGATTACTGCTGCAGACACACAAGTGTTTTTAACCATGTATACACGAGCTGCTCGTATAGCTGGCCTTCTAATCAGTTGCAGCTGAACCGCAGTCCTTGCACATGCGCAGTAAATATGTATGTAACACTGCCGAAATGCAAGCTCAGGTAGGCTGCCTCGCTACTCTGCTGTAAGACAGACGGATCACATCCGCTGGCGAATTAAGTATGTGGCACGGTAGCTTGGAAACTAAATCAGAGGGCGTCGACGTGGAAAGCTGGCTGGCATTTGCAAGATGCATGCACACATTCAATGCAACGCCGACAATACCACGCGAAGCGGTGAATACGCCTGCAAACGTAAAAAAGAGTAAAGGTCAGTGCATTGCGAATAAGTCCATTAAAGGAGCACAGCAACACTAATCTACGAAAGGCGCGACTCGCTTGCAGCTTTGGACGACGCAAATGCGCTTCGCGCGTCCCAGGGCGGACGCGACGCGGCAGCTAGCAAGTGGTGGTGCGGTTGGTGTCCATGACCCATAGCACCGTGTTAGACGCCTCTGCTGCAAGGAAGGCCGCAACTTGCACGACAATGGATCACAGAACAGTCATTAGGATGATGAATAGACAACATACGCCTTCAACAGGATATACCTGGTATGAAGCCAGTGCATATCCACCATATCGGCCCAGCTGCCGCTCAAGCTTTTAAGCCCGTCGGCGAAGCGCTAAGCGACTCCATCCTCCATCGTCGCTGCGCGCGGGATTGCCCTATGGTGCATAGATACGCTACATAGAAGGAATACAAGTGATAAGAAAATAAAGTTAACTAGCCTGTTGGATAGCCGCTGGAATGATCAGGTGTCGGGCGATCAAGCGTCGTCCGACCTCATCCCAGCCGCCCACGGGCTTTGGCGCTGCCAGCGATGCAATATCTAGTCCGTGGCTACTTCTCTATACGTTTGCAACATGTTGTGACCATGAGCTAGGCTGGCGATGGAAGTGCGACATAGATTGGCGATGTTGCTCATGTTCCCGATCAAAATCCACACCTTCCCCTGGAATGCGTGCAATATATGTCTGGACATCAGCAACATCGCCGTCAATGTCGCACGCGCCTTGTAAGCGTACTCGCAGCACGCGACAGCACGACGTGCTCAGCATGATGTGTTGGCCAGCTTAACCAGGCGGCTACACCACAACCGGCTCAAGGGCTAAGTTGCCATTCTCCTCATCGCTGTCGCTGTCGCTACCGCTTGACAAGCAGCCGCCATCCTCGACAACAATCTTACTACCCTCCGCCCATTCCCCATCCTGCCACTGGCCGACGTCGCCCTCTCCCACGCCTCCTAGCTGCTGTTCCTCCCCATCGCCTTGCCCGCTGCCGCCACCACCGACGTCACCGCTGCCAGCATCCTCCTCCTCCTCCTCTTCCTCTTCATCGCCTGCGAGGTCCACGCTCCCCGAATCCACGTACTCCGGCAACGCAGCATCCTGGGTGTACACGTTGTACGCTGCGACATCCTCAGCCGCCGCATGCGTCTCAGCCTCCTTAGCGCAAGTTTTGTGCGCTCCACCTATGCGGCTAACTGGTCTATGATACTAACCACTAATTGCAGCAGCGTATTGCTTAGTCTCTGAATCTCAGTATGTTCCGCGCTGCTGATGCGGTTGGCCGGGCCCCCTGGAGTATTGCCCCTGGGGCCCATCCAGTAGTACTGGGCATTGCATTATTTCTAAGCAACGCAGTGCAATGACGACCTCCGTACTCGTGCTAACTTTGTGTGGGCATCACCGGCGGGCCATTAGGCTCATACTACGTAGCCCCAGTTACATATTGGCTCTGGGGCCAGGCCCCCGCCCAACCCACACCACTCCAGGCGGCCACCCCTCCAAACCACACCGCTCGGGCGGCGTATTCCCGCAAGGGATGTATGCAGCCCACCAACAGCCCCGTAGACGAGTACTAACAAAATCTACCGTTCTTTTGCCTGGCTCTCTATAATGGCCCTGTCTGCTACACTTTCCACCATTACTGCTCGACTCGGCCGTCCTCATATTCAACCCCTAGCTCTGCTGTCCACCCTCCTCCAGCGGCAGCACCAACGCTGGCGCCGGAGCTGCCCCAGCTGCAACCGCCTCATCCTCATCCCCAACGCCAGCCTCAGCCTGCGCAGCGTCACCCAAGCCGCCGCCCGCAGCAGCCGTGCCAGGCACCTCACCAAGCGCGGCCGCATCCTCCAGCGTGCTGTAGTACTCCTCGCCTTCGCCGTTGCCACCGCCAAACTCCTCGCCATCATCAACGTCGAGCTCGTCCCCCATGCCTCCATCGCCATCCTCATCCCCGTACGGCATCAATGCGTCGGCGCCGTCGTCAGCGAAACGCATGTCGGCGCCCCAACCGGCGCCCTGAGCGCCACCAGCCGGCGACTGCGTGCCTGAAGACGGCTGAGCACCGCCCGGCTGTGGCGAATGCTTGTGCTGGGACGACCACGGCAGCAGCAAACTCCCCACAATGTCTTCGGTGGCTCGGCACATCTCGGCGACACCGTTGCAAACCTCCTGTATAAAGCTGCCCTTCTTCACGGCACCGTTCGGCGCGTGCACCGTATCACCATGTGCTCCTCCTGAGCCCTGCGTGGCCCTCTGCTGCTGCTGCTGTTCGAGCGCTGCATGGGGCTGGGTCAGCTCCTCAGGCGGGTTCGGCCGCTGTTTCTTGCGCGCTGCCTCCTGGGGCCGCTCGACGGGAAGGTCCTGTCCGCGCACATCGCAGGAGGCTTCGCGACAGCGGCCGGCGGTGTGCTGGCTGCCCTCCTGGCGCTGGGTTAAAGAGATGTCGTCGTCGCTCTCGGTCATCGGGGGCAGCACGAGGCCTGATGGAGTCAAGTGCTGCTGCAAAGTCCGTTGGTGCGGCGGCGGTTGGTGAGGCGGCAGTTGAGGCTCACAGGCGGGTGAAAGATTCTGTTGTGCCTGCCCTGCGGCGCACAAGGCGTGAGGAGTAGCGGGCGGTGGCGTAAGAAGGGAGGGTGAAGAATGGTTCAGGCATGCCGCCAGGACTGTCGCCGCCATTACCTCCCATGCTACCATGCTCTTAGATGCCTTGCACAAGGCGATGCCTGCGTTCGGTATGCGGTACTTGGGACGTAATGTCGGAACCAAAGACCTTTGCCACACACTACTTGCACATTGGCAACTGCTGTCCCTTCGCACTTGCTGAGTACTCCTCCCCACGTTGAGAGCTTACCGGTCTTCGCGGCTAGCGTCTTCTGCCTAAATATCGTGCTCTTCAAGTCCTTCCCATGAAAACCTGGGCAGCACCAGGCGAAGTAGGGGCACGCAAGCATTGTCATGTTTAGCGTAAGCATATACCAAGGAGCAGCAGCGTCAGGCGCAAGGCTGACACCAGCACAGGCCAGCTGTGAATGCTGTTCCCATCCCTAACACGCCATGCACGGGGTGCGTCCCATCGGTTGCTGCGAGTAACCCAGACGGACATGGCAGCCGTCAGAGTTATGCTCCGCAACTCCACAAGTCCAGTCTGAATCTTCACACTAACCAATAACCTGACTACAACAACCTGGAGCCGCCGAGCTTCCAATCCTGCAAGCACCCTTACCCAAAACTACACTTTTCCAGCCCCTTCCTTCCTCACCTGCCTGCGGCTGCCATCGCTGTTGGGATTGCGGCGGTGCGGCAGCAGGAGCCAAGCCGGCCGCTGACCCCGTGGTTGTGGCCTCGGGTCCTGGCTGCTGCTGCTGGCCGCATACCAGGCGCGCAGGTTCAACAGCGTGCAGCTGTGCCGTCTGCGGAATCATAGACAGAGCGGGCGCGCCCAGCAAGCCGGCAGCCGACTTGAGCACCCCACAGCCTCGAAGCCCTCCTGCCCGCCCGTCCTGTAGGCCCGGCAGCCTCACGTGCTCACCCCCTCCGCGTTGCTGGCCCGCTGACCCCGGCGGCTGCCCGCTAAGGTACTGCCGAGCGCTGGGGTCCAGCAGCTGGCCGCCTCCAGCACTGGTGGTGTGGGAGGTACCAGCGGCCGCGGCTGCCGCCAGTGCTCTGATGTCGTCAGCCATCGCGGCGAGGTCTCCATGTGGGGATGTACGGGCCAGGTCCAGAGCTGCAATCCTCGGCCTAGCGCCGGTTGCGGTGCCTGCTTCGTGCTTTGAACCCAGCGCCTGCGCCTGCGAAGCTGGGACAAACTGTGATGCTGGCTGCTGTCTCTGCTCCAGGGCAGGCGGGATGAACTGCTGGCTGCTGCCGTTTGCCGCCGCGTTGAGGCGATTCTTATGGTAGTAGAGAAAGGCGGGGGCGGGCTGAGGTTGGTTTGTTGGGGCAGCCTGGTGCTTGGAATGGGGTGATCTCGTGCTGCCGCAAGCATGCGCCACAGCAGCCGAGCCGACGACAAGGTCAGGGCTTTCCAGGATGCCGACGCCCCGCCAACTGCCAACATTGTCGTCGAGGTCATTGTCCTCCTCATGCACGGCAGGTCCTCCGCTGCGAGAATGTCGAAGGCTGCACCGTTCGCCTGCATGAATTTCAGCAAGTCCTTCCACACTGTCTCGCAGGGGACATTTGCTGGTATGTTGCCGATGATGAGGTGGGCCCCCCTCATGCAGCAGCGCTTGCTCAGCAGCATGGCCTGCGTGCTGGGGGTGCCGCTGCACTCCTGATCCAGCTGCTTCTTCATCTCTGCGATGTCGCTGGCAAGCTTCTGGATCTGGCTGGTATGCTCGCCAATGTGCCCGTTAACAATCTCAAACTGCTGGTGCGTGGCATGAGCGAGTGCCTCATGCTTATCGCTAGCTGTGCTGATCTTGACCTCCAGTTCCGACATGCGCCCGCCGAGGGTACCGATGCAGTCGCGAGTCTTCTCCGCTTCAGCCCTGGTCGTCTCAATGACCTGCTTCAGGTAGAGCTTCAGCTGCTGATCGCTTAGGTTGCCTATCTGATCGACACTAAGGAGCGTTGAGCGCAAACCACAGCCAAAGTTGCCGTACGGTAATCGCCCACCATAGTCATGGTGTCGAGCGCGCAAGATTCAAGACGCACCCTATCTGGGACTTCAAGAGCATGCCTCGACGCCCAACGAACGTGTACAAAGCCAGAACCTCTGCCACTTGACTGTGTCATAGTCCACACGGTCTGATTCCTTGCAGCGGTTACGCCTATCCAGTGCCAGTCTGCGTAATCGCTTTCTTAGGCGAAACACAAGTGCCTGGTACCGTAATCAGCCTGGCCGATTCGGCACTACCGGTACCACCAAGAACAGCAAGGCCCAAACACACTTACCGGTACTAAACTCTTCTTACGTTCCATGCTCCGTCCTTTGCAAGTGCGCTCAAGCACTTCACAAGAAGATTTAACTATACCAATGGCCTACTCACCGCGGAAAAAGGAGGGCTGGAGACTCGGGCTGGGCACAGTAGCTTGCCTTGCGGCTTCACTACTCATTATTGTACTATGCTTAGCTGGGGGTGGATTCCTAACCGGGCCGCCAGCGGCGGGAGGTGGCCCAGCAGGCACGCGTGTTCTGGGGCTTCCTTTTTTCGGCAAGCCAAAGCCTTTCAGGAGCCCTAAGGTCGGCGATACTTTCGGTGAGTTATGTTATTATACCGGGCAGTGCTAATTGCTGGGTTCCCAAAGCTTCTGGTAAGAGCAGTAGGATCAGGGGAGACCGTTGCATCAGCCGATTGCGCCTATGCTGCGTTGATGTTGATCTCTAGCAATTTGAAGTTACTTCGGCGCCATAGCGTCGTTTTTGCTGCCTTTCTTGACTTGCTGGCCAGGCTCATGCGATCATATTGTCACCACTGACAGAACAGTTAACAACTTAAACTTTCCTTTAAACTCCAGGAACAATATTTCATCTCGAGCTGAAGTGAGTAGCCTTGCAAGGCGGGGGATGGAAAAGTGATTTCCAGGATGTATTGCCGCGTACAAACGTCGGGCATGCGTAATTAGTGCAGCAAAGCCCTGGTTGGCTTGATGCAGAATGCCTTGGTAGCCTCGCTCCAACCCAGGAGAGGGCCATAAACCGTGTGGGAGGCACGGGCCCCTTGCTTCAATTGGCCGTGGTCTAACTGGGCGCCCCAATCCCTGGACGACAATATGTACAGGATGTTCTACGCGGCTCAGGAGGCAAAGCCAGAGTACGAGAAGCTCATCGAGACACTGCGTAACATGAAGGCGAACGGTATTAAGACCGTTGTCTTCAGCGAGAGCTGGTAAGGTGGGGGGCATGGGGGCTGAATATGGGGTGGGAGGGACCAATGGTAAGGTGGAAAGCAGATTGATGGGTTTTGGGTTTCCCAGGGAAACGCTTTATGGAGGGCGATCGAGCGATCGAACGAGAAGGGATGGCTAGAGAATGAAGAGAGACGGCACGGACATGTTTCTGGGTGACTGGTTACAATGGTATCGCTCCTCTTCGGTCATGCTAAGGGGGTTAAGGCGTCTTTATGCACCGACCCTCCTGGTAGGCAGTTGGCTGGAAAGGGCGTGCTGAAAACTTGGGGCCATTGGGGTCACCAGGCAGCCTCAGAGTTATGGGTGGAGGCGGGGCGTCTTTGATGCGCATGCGCATAGAAGCCTGACACTGTTTTATCTTTACCGGTTGGTAGTGCTCGCGGGATCACACAGCCAAATAGGTCGTGAAACTGTGATGGGTGGCGAGCGTATGGATGTGCGAAACCAAGAGCAGGATACGCTCAGTCTCTCGGTGCTTCCCCGACCTCCTCTTTTCGTCGTCCTCCTTCCCTGTTTCCATACCCAACATTTTCCTTCTATCCGTGGGCCCTAACCCGTGCACAAACTCCTAACGTGCGCACAACCTCCTTCAACAGGGACTGGGCCGAGCCGGAGCAGGGCAAGATCCGCTTTGCCTACCTTGACGGGCTTATGACCTGCGCCTGCAAGAACGCGGAGATAAAGGTGAGGAGGATTGGTCCGCGGGGCTCAGACCCACTGGGAACAGGTTAGTGCTGGTGTTGACGTTGGTTCCTTCCCGTCGTATAGCTCCACTAAGCAGACAAGCCCTTTCTCATTTGCTTTCCAACGGTTCTAGTATGGCATTAGCTTAGTATTGCGTAATCTTGCTTCCTATCCACACCTCCCTTGTACCCTTCTCCCACCCGCTCCCCCCATCATAGCCCCTCCACACTCCAACCCGAGATGCTACTAAGTATCACCCCGATGCGACGAACCCAATTAATGCTACCCTTCCCCTAGGTGGACTTCATCTTCGACCTGCTGCAGCCTCCCAAGTGGATTTACCAGCGCTACCCCGACGCGCGCGCGCACGACGCGGACAACCGCACGTACGCCTGGATGTCGTGGTTCCACCAGCTGTCCAACAAGGAGGCGCGCCGCTTTCTGGGCGCCTCCGCGACCTATCTGCAGCAGAACTATCCCGGCTGCATCCAGGCCATCCAGCCCGTCTACAACAACGAGTATGAGGTGGGTGGGACCGGCATTCTACTGGTAGAGAGAATCTGAGTACGAAGGGCTATCGGGGCTGTCGGGGAACTGTCTGAATGGGGAGGTATCTCCGATGGAGGGAGGGAAGGTCAGGGCGACAGAGTCCATTGCTTTCCCTTTTGCGGTTGGACCAAGGTCTCATAGCATGCGCACTCGCTTAGCGTCGGCGGCGTGATCATGTGTTGGGGACATGGTAATGAGCCGACTTGTTTGCTACCGTAGTTGTGCGATATCATCGCGCCAAAATAATTAATTATCTGAAACAATGTGCATTTCCTCGCAGTATAATTAAATTCCTCAAAGGGGTGCGCGAATTCAGAAAATAATCCAATTTCGGCCTGCGCGAAGTTATGGAAACCCCTGGGGGACCCTACACCCCACCCCAACATACCCCAACTCCATTCCAGCTCAGCTAGCCCAACCCATGGCTGCGGGTCCGTATGCCCAACGAAGAGCATCGGTGTAGGTATAGCTGTCTTGGCAATCTGGGCTCACAATGTAGAGTTTTTACGGTTGAAATGCAGGAAAGACATTGGCTGCGCGAAACTAGTTTAATTCAGGGGTAGCCGTGCGCGAACCTAAACTTAATGCCTCGCATCGCTGAAAATAACTCCAAGAAGGAGGGTGCGCGATGATCAAAAGAAGCTACGGTACACGTTGTGGGCCTCCTCGTGCCTCTTTGCCCCACATTACCGGCTTAGCCAATGTCACATGGGTGGTTGAGCTTAGGCTGGTATACGTCAGGGCAACCAGCCTTGGTAAGCTCTTTTTGTTGTGCTATCCATGTTTCGGAGCCACTGGGTTGCCCCCCTTCCCCCACCTCCCCAGGCCAAGTACACTCAGGAGTACGATGCCTACCAGGACTACAGCCCCTACGCCATCCACGCCTTCCGTGAGTGGCTGCGCTCCAAGGGTGCGGCGCTGCCGCAGCTGAGCCAGCGCTGGCAGGTGCCCATGAAGACCTGGGACGATGTCATGCCGCCCAAGCTGCACGGCGGGGACTACTACGGCGCGGATATAACCGCAAGGTGAGAGAGGTGTGGGTGGAGAATGGGGATACTGGTTAGATGGTGTTGAGGTCGAAGCCAGCGTTATATGGTGATCAGCATGCTTGGACGCTGCCGCATATGCAGTTCTTTGTTGGGGCGTCGGGAGAGGCGCGTTCAGATGAAGTGGTTCAGACGCATGGCACACGTCAGAGTGCAGTTGCGAGACACATGATGTGTGCGCATGCCCGCAGGTACTGGGACTGGATCAAGTTCCGCGAGGAGCACGGGGCCGCGCATTTTAACGCCGCGTGCGCCACCGTGCATGAGGCCGGGCTACAGTGCTTTCACCACTTCCCTGAGGTGCGTTAAGCAGGTTGCGTCCTCCTACAAGTGCAGCTGTACTGCATAATGATTATGAACTAGCTTCGTTGCTTGCTTTTGCCGGCAGCTGTTGTCCAAAACACATCCTGACGATGTCGCTCTCCCCTCCCTCGGGCCTTCTTAACCCGCCACCGCCGCTGTCCTCCGTAGTTCTTCTCTGTCATTGATGCCATCTACGGCGCTCCTATGTTCAAGCACATCGTCGCCAGCCCCGTCACCGACTTCGTAATCATGGACTCCAACTTCCGTACACCGTACGGCACCCTCATGAACCCCAACAAGCTGCGCCTTTACGTCGGTGCCGCCGTGCCGTACGGCAAGCCGGTGTACTTCGAGGCCGCCGTGGAGCGCTTTGCTGATTTGAAGCTGCTTGAGGCCGGCTTCCGCGCCACGCTGCTGGCTGGTGCCCCCAACCTGGGTATTACCAACTGGCACACGCGTGTGGAGGTAAATGAGAGCCTGGCGCGGATTATGGGCGACGAGGTTGCGCCCAAGTGCGCAACAACAGAGGTGGTGGGCGTGTTTCTGCACCTGGACAGCTGCGCGGTGTTCCACGGACTGCAGTTCGGCTGGGTGCGAAAGGACCCTCTGCACGACTTTGTGGAGGTGAGGTAGAGGGGCTGGTGTGGGGTTGCGGCTGGGCTGAGTTAGGGTGTAAGGAGGCAACTGGGATGACATAAGGCACCGCCATGTGATGTATGGGGTGGTGTAGGGGAAATTACAAACCAACCCCTTCCAGTGGGTGGTGTAGGGTGGGCAGTTCTGAGCTACCTTGTCAAAGATGTGTACATTCCCTGTACATTCCCTGCTCAGTTATGTTACGAGTAGCGTTAAGAACATGCCTTCTTCCCACTCATGGCGACTCATGGGTTTTCTCTCCTCCTTCCTCCTCTCCGCACACCCAGGACCTGGCCGACCGCCTCGCCCAGGACTGCGGCACAGACGTGGGTGTCTACATCGAGCTGGACCGCTTCCTCGCTGACCTGCCGCGCTTCAACCGTGTTGTCTTCATTGAGCCCCTCATCCTGTATGGCAACAAGGAGCTGGAGTCGTACATTGCGGCCAAGGCGGTGCTCAAAAGCATTCCGCACGAAATCCTGCACCTCCCCGCCAACATCACGGCGGGCGGCTCGCAGCTGGTAGTGCTGCAGGACCTCGGCAAGACACCCTCCGCCAACCTGCCGGTGCACCACGCCGCCTCGCCCTCGACTGCGCAGTAACTCGGAGCAACGCGTCGCATATGCAGCAAGAGCTTACCGCTGGGGAGGGGCAGTCGCGCAATGGTTGGTGTGTAGCATGGGATGGCTGGGTCAAGTTGTCGGGGTGGTGCTACAACTGCGTCGGGGTGGTGCTACAACTACCATGCGATTGTAGGAGGACCTGAGAACAACGATTAATATGTATCGTTATGGAATAAACCGTGTCTGGCGTCGGAGGCAGGCAAGGCTCGGTTTAGGATACCGCCGTTGTAGAAGCTGCTACCCTCAGCTGTGTGTATGTAGTTATGAAGATGACCGGTTAGACGCAGTCACACAACTGTAGTCACTTTAATTTGCCTCTCCCGGCTGGGCTGGACTTCCAAAGATTGTCCGCCCTTCACGAGGACATGGGCATGCAATCCTTGCGGGAGCGTGCGTTTTCCTTCGGCTTACGAGGAAGCATGCTGTGTGTGGAGTGTCCACGTACCCCTAAGCCTTTAAGTGACGCTTCATGTTTGTTCACGCATGTGTGGGGTATGTGTGCTGTAAGTGAATTGGGTCAATGACATTCATGCAATGTCTGGAGGAAACCCGTCAGCTTCGCGGACACGAAGGCTCGCCCCCATTTTGGAATGTGTGTCATGCGTGGGTTGCGTTTGTTGGATTAAAATGGGGAAATTCGACAAGAGACACTTGTGGGTTGCTGTCTGGAGTTGCGCCCAGAGCCCTTTCTGATATCGTCTTCAGAAGCTTGGGAGTCAATGGCACGTGCACGTTTACGATTACATGGTACGGTGTAGGGCCATCCGCCCTACCGCACAACCCCACGAACCATTGCGATTGAGAGGTGCAACAACAGCGACTAGCTCTATTAGCAGGGAGGAAGTACTGAGCTGAAACATTGGTTGGTCTCAAAAGAGATGGTCAAACCTAAACGCAGTAAAAGCAAGCATACTGGACACATCTCCACTGCTTAATCTGCTACCGCCAGATAGATCAACAATTGCTCTCAGGGAACGCGGCACATGTACTCCAGCAGGACTACAAACCCATCCTCAATCCTCATCACCGTCATCAGCTTGCGACTCCAGGAACGACACAGTTTCTACTCATTTCGCCATTCGCATCTAAACACATAACCGCATCATGCTATTCTTCTACGCGTGTTCACTTCACCCTGGTGGATACCCTTCACCACCGAAGTTCAGTCTCCTTTACCGTTGCCCTCCTTCGGCTTCCGTGGAGCTTTCGCACCTCCAGCAGCTAGCTGGTGGGCTACGCCGCCCCCAGTGTTGGCGCCTAAGGCACCCGCCCACCCAGAGGTGTGACTGCATCAGGGGGAGCTGCTCCATGGTTATCTACCATCCTAAGTTAAGCTTGGTATAGCGTGTAGCGCTCCTGCCCTTGAGCTTCACCCAAATTTCCGCTGCGTTGCGCCAAGCCGGGTTCATGCCCTGGCTCTTCAGCTGCGTGAACAGTCCTTGCTGCTGCTGCCTGGTCTCTAGCCCAGCTTTGGTGAGATGAATGAATGACCGTTACAATGGTGCCCTAAAAGGGAACACGGGTGATGAACCCAACCCTACATTGCAAAAGAAACGGAACAAACCGTAGAGACAGCACCACAACGGGCCAACAAGATGGGATACACAGCCCTAAAAGAAACCACAGGAGGTAAACAAGAGGGTAGAAGCCAAAAAAGGGCCCCTCAGCAAACCTCGACAAAGAGAGTCAGTGAGATAGTCGCGTACCACCCACATAACTTCGCGCCTGATGAGTGCAGCCCTGCGTACAATGGTGCCCCACGCCACAGGGTTGATGGTGATGATGATGCTGCGAGTGGGCGGTTTCCCTGGCAGTTCGCGATAAGACAAGTCCTCCGCTGTGTGGATATCGCAGTCAGCGCCGTTCGTCCGCATGAACTGCTGAAGTTTCAGCCTCACTGTGTCGCATGAGACTGCCATGACACTCCCGGACTGCGCTGAGATTTGCCTTCCAACGCCTCCAGACGCCCGGTGAAGCCGTTGATGATGTCGCGAGTCGTCTCACCTTCAGCTACGATTATCGCGATCACCTCCATAAAGGACTTTCCTATCTGGTCATCCGCTGGGGGGCTTTGCTGGGTGTCCAGTTCAATGTTTTCACCAATTTCAAACCGAATGATGCATGTGTGGCATAAGGGCGCCAGCGGCGGCGAAACCCTACCCCCAAAATTTTTCGTGACTGCACCCGAGGGTGGAGGCTATAGGGTGACGCCGGCTAGAAGCGTGCCACAGGACCTGCTGGTGTAGTAGTGCCACGCGGCGCCGTATGAGGACTGCACGCACGCGCTCTCCCGCGGATCCGACCCTTATGTAAACGCCGTAGGGATCTGGAGATGCCCTTGCGAGACGAGATGACTTGGCACGGAAGCTCCTTGACGTTGGGCTTGGGGATGATCGAGATGCTTGATGCCTTGAGGGCGCGGATAGCGATGTGCGGTAACGAGTAGCTTATAGGAACGTGGATAAAAGGGGCCTTGAGCTGATGACGATTGACGTGACGGCAGCTATGCGGATTAGGCTGCCGTCTTTACTCCGTTGCCGTTGGAACTGAACCGACGCGCCTGCGGTACTTGAATAGAGCACATGGGTGACTGAAGGCTTCGCCTACTTAATTGCTCCTACGTAAACTACAGAAGGGGCGTGGCTGGACTTGGATAACCTTCACTGCTGACCAGTGCTAGTAGACCTCGCGATTGCCGATTCCGGATGCTGAAGAGGTCTTCTCAAGCTATACAGTTAATTATAGCTTCTTTCTACTATTATACAAAAGCTGATGCTTAAAGTAATTATAGAACCAAAGTGCGCGACGTCGGTGGTCTAACTCGGCGACGCGATGGCGATGATGCGCTCGGACCCTCAGCTGAAGCGCCCTAGCCGCTTCAGCTGGGCTTGAGATACTGGTCGAAAAAGGTACTGGTACTTGAATCTGCACTAGCAGGAAAGGGGATAGGGATCTTGTCCTCGACGACCTTGATCATGATCAGGGATGGCCTTGGCTACAAGTTGCTATACAGGAAACAGGGTTTATGGCCTTGTCTTTCAGGTCTTGGGATACTGGTACTCGGTCTGCAACGCAGGAAACGGGGTAGAGGGCCTTGTCCGCGATAATGATAATGTCGTCTTGGGATGTTCTGACTTGCGCTTTCTCTGTAGCGCTCTGTTCTTATAGCTTTTACGACTTTAAACGGCGTAACGACCTCTTCACGACTCTTCGGGTCTATTGGCTGACTTAGAGTGCCGTGGCCATGCCAGGGACTTGCGAGGTTGCTGTGGCTGTTGCCAGAGTTTTGCTAGCTGCTTCCGGTGTGAGCTGTTGCCCTTTGGGAAGAGGAGGGTGGTACTTTGATTTAGTCCAAGACTTGTTACAATAGGGAAAAACCCCGCGCGTAGCGCCGCTGCTGGGCCCGCCCACCGAATGTTAATCTTGAGAGTTAACCCTGGAGTGTTCAAAACGCCCCCTCTGCCCCATTCTATGGAATTTCCGAAGCACTTGAAGGCCTTAACCTATTCTCGACTCGTTCTCGAATCCGTCCTTTCCCTTCGGGCGGTGTTGGCTTGGAATGCTTTGTTACATGCTCGCTCATCCCTACGCACATCTCACTGTGTGCCCCTGGCCTTGCCAGGCCATGCTGTCTAACCCCTGCCACTCGGTGCACTGTTGGCTGGTCAGGCAATGTCCCATGTGGGCTCATCTCTACGCACAACTCACCTATGCCCCATTGGCTTGCCAGGCCATGCGGTCTCACCCCTTCGCACAAGGTCTGGCATTGACTGGTGTCCACACAAAACCTTTAATATTTCACGGCCGACCTGTAATGTCCTGGGTAAGCTAGTATGTTCGATCAAGCGTAATTCTTTGCGGGACTTTTGCCTTGGTGCTTGCTTGTAAGCAGCATTTGGATTGTGTAGCATTCTGTTATTTTTTTCTACTAGTTGGCATGCCTTCGCTGGTTATCTCTGGGTTACTCGCCTGCTCGTGGTCGAGGGCGTCTGAAAAATTTTTGGTGAAAAAATTTTTTGGGCGGAGCCCCCGCCGCGAAGCGGCTTCGGGGGGGCTTCGCCCCCCAGGATTGCCCCTGTCCGTGTGTCCGTGTGTCCGTGTGTCCGTGTGTCCGTGTGTCCGTCCGTAACGGCAAAACATACAATCTAGACAAAACTATTTATTGCACCTAATAGATATTTGTTATCTGTATTCAGTAAAAATAACTGGAAGCCAAACAAACTTAATTTCGCAACAAACGATTTATTGACCAGCCATTGAACAAGGACCACCTCGGCAACAGCGATTAGCGCTCCTCTATGGTTTGTCCTGGTACCGTAAACAGTATTTAGTGAATTGGTAACAGCGGCGTGTGGCCAAAGGGCTACCTGTGAAAGTCGGCGGGAGCATGCTCGCATCTACTGTGCTACTCAGAGCCCACACAATCCTTTGGGACGATGTTGCACGCCTTTGCTATGGGTTTATGCGTATGAACTGTAACGCAAACGGGTACGGGATACCTCGCTTATAAGCTAACATGTCATGTGACGGCGCAATGGCTGAAGTCCTTCTGAGCACGATGCCGAGATTGAGGAGCCTGACCTCCTCATCATGTTAGTAATGTAGGTGAAACTCTGCGGGACCCTGAAAGCACTTCCATGTGGCAGTTACGCCGTCGATTTGGGTTCTGTAGCCTAAGGCGTGGGTGTTATCAAGCATGATAAGACGTTACTAAGTACTCGATTGAACAGGCGTAACCTAACAATGTGTGCAATGAGTGAGGACACTATGTACGCCATGGGTGAACAAGGCGGCCGGCCTCGGCTGGACAAGGGGCTCTGAGCCCGTCTAGTCATGCAACGAGCACTAAAACTACAGTAAACAAGGGGGTTCAGCGTCCGTATAACGAGGTGTGTTAGGTCAACTGGTGCCGTGGAGTCACAGGAGCGCATTCCAGGTCTATAAGGCCCATAGGGTTGTGCGTCGCACTTGAGTCGTTCCACTCCCCTGTAATAATCGCAATCATTCCAGTGGTAATAATACGTTCCTGTACTAAAGAGGAGGGGCTCCGCCCTTTTCCAGCTTTGAGGAAGCTGAAACCCCCTTGTCGACAGTTATATTGAAGTTTGACTTTCATAACAGCTAAGTCTCCCGGTAACTTGTCATACTCGAGGTGGGATCATACTTTAGGTGGAATCCCACTTATAGCTCTGTTGTTGCCTAATTTTTCGGACTCCCTAATTCCGGCCAGATCGCCAAACCTGCCGTAACCTCCCTTATCCCATGGCTTCAGACCAAGTTGTCTTAGGACAAAACGTTCATATATAAGTATAGTAGAAGTCTAGGCCGCTATTTGCTGGAAAAGACGCGGGTAGACGGACAACCAACGTAAAAGTTGCCATCGGGGCCATAAAAAATTTCGGCCAGTTGGCCGCTTAGCGCGTATACACTCATTTCGCTCATATGAATAACAGCAATCGACCTTGGTCCATCAATGTAAGCACGTTGGATGGCGGATCTGCTGAGGCGCTTTCAGGGGCTTGTTTGGAGAACCGCATGAAGATGCATGGGGGGTTCCAAGGTCAAGCTTTAAGGACCATTGTAGGAGAACTGAGGTCAGCAGCATAACTCCACAGCAGTGCCTCCAAATTGCTGACCACCTGAGCGCCGAGCGGCTAGACTAGGTGATTAATGCCGTCGGTCGGTGAACTTAGCCGGACCTTCTGCAATGGCTCGTATGACACCATAGACCCCTGGTTTACATCATAATGATGTTATGTATGTAATACGCGGTTGCGAATTTGCTTAATGGCGGTGCAAAGGTTGCAAACCGGTGCTGGCCGAAATCAGGCTAGGCCAACTTTTGCGGTGAATTTTCTTATCGCACCTGCTGGCCTTGTTGCTTTGTTTGACATCTGCCGGCTTTGAAA